GGTTAACCAACCCACCTATCTTGGCTTATCCAGATTACAACAAAAGCTTTGAGCTACACACCGATGCTAGCCTATTGGGATTGGGTGCGGCACTTTACCAGCATGATGGTACAGCAAACAGGGTGATAGCTTATGCCAGCTGCAGAATATCAAAAAGTGAGCGCAATTACCCAGCACACAAGCTGGAATTTCTGGTGTTGAAGTGGGCTGTAGTGGACAAATTTAAGGATTACTTATATGGTCGGAAGTTTACAGTGGTGACTGACAATAATCCCCTGACGTATGTCCTAACCACAGCAAAGCTAGATGCAACGGGGCACAGGTGGTTGTCAGCCCTGGCATTGTTTGATTTTGAGCTTCAGTACAGACCGGGGAGATTTAACGGCGACGCCGATAGATTATCACGAAGACCAAGTCAAAGATATTCCACGGATGATGAAGTACAATCCCACTGGTTGGTTTGGTTGCCACCCAGTGAGAGCGAAAAAAGATGAATCCGCAGACAGTCAGTGCTATCAGCCGTAGTCAGCTGGTGACTGCTTTGCCTGCAGCTGAAGTGTTGGGAATGTCACCGAGCCCCATGGCACAGGCTCGTGAAGACATAAACAGGTGGGCTGATCAAGTATCCCTACCTGCTGCGGTAGCAGAGGACTGGAGGACTGCGCAACAAGGAACCCTGTGATAGGGAGAGTCTGTTGGTATGTGGACAGAGAGAGAAAACCAACTCTGCGAGAACGTGGTAATGAGGACAGGATGACTCAGCTTGCCCTGCGAGAATGGGAATTTTTGTGTTATCGGAACGGTGTTCTACATCGACGACAAGTTGACCCTCATGGTGATGAATACTTCCAACTGGTATTGCCTGCTGTTTATCGTGGCACGGCCATGGAAGCGTTGCATGACGACATGGGTCATCCTGGGATTGAGAGGACAACTGACTTATTACGCACACAGTTTTATTGGCCCAAAATGCTGGCTGACATCCAACAGAAGGTGAAAAGCTGTGAACGATGTATGAGATGAATAATAACTGTAGAGGGCAGGGTTAGAGCACCTCTAGGACATCTGACGTCTACCCAACCACTCGACCTTGTATGTATGGATTATCTGACACTTGAACCCTCCAGGGGTGGTGTTAAGGATATCCCGATAATAACCGACCACTTTACGCGGTATGCTATCGCTATACCTACCAAGGATCAGACAGCAAGAACAACAGCTGATGCTCTGATGGAATATTTCTTACTTCATTACGGGTTCCCGGCACGAATTCACTCTGATCAGGGCAGGAACTTTGGGTCGCGTGTTATTGCTGAATTATGCCCGTATCCCGTATCATCCGCAATCGAATTCTCAGTGTGAACGATTTAACCAAACACTAATGGATATGATCGGCACACTGGAGAATAAGGAGAAGGAAAATTGGAAGCAACATGTGAGTTCTATGGTGCATGCATATAACAGCACAAGGAATGATGTCACCGGCTATTCCCCATATTATTTGATGTATGGGCACCATCCGCGTCTACCCGTAGATGTATATCTTGGACTAGAACCCAGAGGGAGTGAGAATGAGGGATCTGATGACTATGTGAGTAAGTGGCAAGCTCGGCTGAAGGAGGCATATGAAGAGGCTACCAAGGAAGCTGTTAAGCATGAAGATGCCAATAAGAAGAGGTATGACAGGAAAGCTAAAGAGGCTATACTAGTGGAGGGAGATGGAGTGCTTGTGAGAAATATTGGCCTACGGGGTAAACATAAGATAGCAGATAAGTGGGAGAAAGAGGCATATTTAGTGATGGAGAGAGTTAATCCTGATTTACCTGTGTACAAGGTCAAGCCAGAGAGAGGAGAGGGAGCTACCCGAACTGCATCGTAACTTACTTTTACCATGCAATGCGTTACCGATACTATACCCTGAGCGTCCCATGAGGAAGACGTACACAAAGACTACCAGGAACCCCCGTATGAAAACTAGACAGAGACCAGTCAGTACAAGTTCAAGTAGTGACACCTCTAGTGAAGAGGAACTTGTTTACTGGTGGCAAACTAAGACACCAGAGCATATGGAAGATGTAGAGTCAGAGAGGATAGCTGTGCCTGTTACAGTGAGTGATGATTTGATACAGAGGGAAGAAATGAATAACGTTAGTAGCCCCAATGACATGTCTAGAGGTACTGAAAATCCTGCGCCATGTTCTTCAGGTGGTGAAAATGTGATGTCATCATCAAGAGCAGACCAATGGCATCCGATGATAATTCTAGAGATACCATGGCCAAGACTATGCCAGAGAGAATCCCCTGCCATGAGGATGTGACAATTCCTGAGGCTGAAGTAGTAACTGTAACGGAGACTGCGATTACTGGAGATGAAGTACAAGCTGTGAGGAGATCAAGCCGACCACGAAAAGCACCTGAGCGCTATGGATGGTCACAGCAGAAAAGATTTGCAGGAGAGATGTTGCATGATCTGATTTCCTTGACTAAAGGATGGTTTGAAGGGAAGGAATTAGGCCCTAGAGATGTGGGTTATGACATTGTGTAATATGTTAATAAGGCTTTATTTAGTGTGCAAGTACACTTTGTTACTTTTACGAATTACCTTTATACTTTATGCATATGTTGCATTCATGTTAGTATTAAATAGTAGATTCAAGTGTGTAATTTAGCTGGTAGAAGTGGAGTGATCTGAAGACACAGGGTGATTGAGGGGCCAAGATTCAAAGGCACTTCAATGGAGCGACGAGGTAATCGGGAGACCAAGATTCAAAGGTGCCGATGGAGATGAGGGTATCGAGGGCTAAGATTCAAGAGCACTCGATGGAGATTTGGGGGCCAATGGCACCAAATCCTGGTGAGCCGAAGAGGACCATTAGGCAAGACACAAGATCACGAAGACAAGAATTCACGACTGCAGTGAGCGGGGATGCTCATATTTGTGGGGGGAGAGTATAACCCGGACATGGTCCATGTTATTGTTTACTAATTTAAATAATATAAAATCACTGTAAAAAGAGTGTTTGGGTTACTGAAACGGCATTGTGCGTTTTACGGTAATGCTTTCAATACCGCCTTGGTTGTCGCATTGATTTTGCGATGAAGGATTTTGTAGTGTAGAGTTTGTGTTTTCATGGGATTATAATTACCTATGGCCACACAACGTATGGTGGCGATCGTATATGTTTTGTTTCGAATGGTTATTCATTAGTTAGTCAGCTGATAACTGTGTTTAGCATTACAATCGCACTGTGTGTGTTAAGTATAGGGGTTGTGTTTTGTTAATTATTTCCTCCAATGAGACGAGAAGTCTTTGTTTGAATTTAGTTGATTATGTATCTTTATTTTACTTTGATAATTTGAATTCTGTTCGAATGTCATGAATG